TAAAAATCTAGGAAGTAATCGGTGTCGAGAGAGAGTTCGAAAAGAACTCGGATTCGAGAGGAACCGGTATTTTCGGGACGGCATTCCGAAGAATATGGAAGAGAATGAACTTCTTAGAGATAGAGATCGAGGTCGGAACGGTTTTATGGCAACAAGGAAGAGGCAGTTCCACTCGAGCATGTTAAGATCTGGCTAGACCGATACAAAACTTCTCCAGTTTTGCATACACTCGTGCATGAGTTTGAAATCGACACAGGCATAGCGACGGAGATTGTAAAACGATCAGAATATGGGGGGTTTCACTCTCGGCCTGTCCTTGAATTGCTGCCCCCCCCCCCCTCCCTCCCCCTCTCCCCTTCCCCCTTCCTCTCTCACCCTTCCTCAGAAAAGTCAGGGATGGAAGGATTTAGACTACATGTTCATTTCTGAAGCTTCACTCAGCCGAAACACGAGGCATATTTTAGCACCTTCTTCCCCCTTTAGCCTTGACATTCCTTATGTTTAGCGTGTTTCATCTGTGACGGCACCCCGATAAGTAGTTCTCTTCTGGATCCGGTTTTCCCCCGCTTCTTCTCTGTGGGATAATTCATTCGTGCCATCGGCCGCGGCAAGCCACCGTCACGGAAGAACCTTTCCCCTCCCGTCCCATCGATTCATATTTTCACACGTCACGTTAGGTTTTCGTGGTCGTGGCATCTACGTGTTTCTGGTGACGTCGCAAAGGGATTCGGATGGGCCCGAGACGCAGAGCCCAAGGAATCCTGACATAAGAACTTTATTGCGATGGAATGCAGAGGCTTTTTGCAAATTTTTCAGCTAATGCGAGATTCCATGGTGTTCCCAAAAAGCATAGGAATGACCTAAAATCATGCAACAGAGCAAAATGGTGGTGGTTCTTGCCCGAACATCGGCTCAGAGATACCGCACGTCCGAGTGCTCCCCAAAAAGGCTAGTTCCGGAAGGAAATTTCTCACTGGCGTCGTCGCGAAGAACACGCGTCAACTGCACTTTTCCGGACACCGTTGCGCACGTCTTAATGCGAAATATATATATACTCTTTGCTCATTTACGTAGATTTACTGCATTCGCATAGCTACAGTTTGAATCGGAACGCAGCCCGTTACGGGCAGGCGTGGAAAACTCGAGATACCGATGTTCCATGACTATGACCGATTCGAAAGCGATGGAACCTCGTCGACCCCGTCTCGCCACGAACTGGAGACAGGGAAGACGATTCCACCGAAAAGGGTTAAATCGTTCCTTGCGTGGATGATTCTGAATGCCTCGGCAGGCCTCGCCCACCTTGGGCCTCACCCGTCGAGCCGAGTCGTCGGCGGATACGGACGAAATGTCTCGGCGCTGACACGTAGGGAAGCGTGACATATGGAGCTTTCGGCCGTCGGTGAATTCGTCGGGGATGCCAAGGCGACGAATCCGATTCCAGATTTTCGTGGGACGGCTAGATGTACTTACGGCCCGTGACTTGAACTTTTTTTCTTCGACCGACGGTTCGGACAGTTTTTTTCGCAGTCCAAGAATACATGGACTCCTATGGGGGGGGGGGGGGGGGGGGGGGCCTT